TCCAACACTCAGATAGATCCAGTAACAGTGAAATAGTAATAGGGAGCCATTTGTGCTCCAAATAAATAGTAAACAGTGATGGAGATGTTGGTTCTAAGTACAAGACTTCCCAAGAACTCAATAGAGCCAAAACATGTCATAAACCATATGCAAACACTCATGATATGAAATCGAGTAACAATGCAAAAATAGTTCAAGAGTAACTTTGAGCAGTTTGGAGTCACTCACCAACCATAGCTCATGATCCTCATTCATCATAGACAGTTTTGTGGATCAAACTCAAGCCCTTCAACTCAAACTCAAAGCAATCAAATGCTTTCAAAGATCGGACAACATTTCCCCTTAATTTCTTTATTTTCCATCCTACAAACAATCACCAAATCCATAACCATCAACCACAATTACACATATACAGCATAGGCTATTAAACACTCTTAATAAGGCCACAATACCATTCATATCTCACCAAATGAGAGCTCTAAAACCAACCACAAACAAAGCCAAATTAAAACCCTAAATCTAAAATTAACCCCACAAGCGGAAATTTTCCTTAGGAAATCACATCTATCATATACAAGATTCATTTCACACACCACTAAGCCATCACTCCATGGCATATGCTTAAGCATTAAATAAAGGCAGAAAATTCACCAAAAATTCTAAGATATATCAAACTCTACTTTAATCCATGAAATATTCTCATAAACCACATATTTTGCAACTCTAAATCATAACTATGCTCGTATTACTAGAAAAGAAGGATTTCTAGCAAAGATTACCTTGAAACCTCAAGAAAATGGTAGCTTAGAACTTGCCCCTCCAAAATCACTCCACCAACACCTTTAAACTTCCTTAATGAGCCCTTGTATGGAGTAGTTTGTAAAACTAATGGTTAAAACTCAAGATTTGGTGAAAGAAATCAAAGGAAAATGGAGTTTCCTCTCTTGGTTTATCTCCCAAGAAGCTCGGTCACTTTTGGTGGAAAAAGAAAAGTGAGTTTTGAACACTGAATAAAGTCAAAAAGTGCAAATTTAATCACTAAGAAAACTGGGCGATAGTAGAATCCGGCCAGAATCTGGCCGGATTCAAGGCAATACATTTCCAAATTTTTTTCAAAATGCTCAGCCAATCCGGCCAAGTATTCGGCCAAAACTGGCCGGATATACGTTGGATTCTATAAAAAAAACTTCCAGCCAAAATATATTTTTTTTCCAGGGCATCACAATTTCTCCCCTTTAAGACAATGTTGTCCTCGACATTCCAACTCATACTAATCAAGACAAGATATCCTTCAAAAGTCAAACAAGCATTTCCAAGCAAGCACTATGAGTTACTCTAATCCCACTTGTCTGATCTTTCATTCCTACAAGAAATCACTTATATTTCAAACCAGACCCAGAGTCCGACATTCTAAACTTTAAACCTAGGATACACTACAGAAATCTGAAGCCTAAACTCTGATACCACCTGTGAAAGCCCCACCTCCCCCTAAGGCGAACCAAAGGCTTCGACGGACCCCTACCCAACTCTCGTCGGGACTCACTACATTCCTCAAATAAATATGAAAAACATAAGACCACAAAAACAAGTGTGACAATAATTTCAAATTTAAAACATAAACTTATATACATTACAAATCTCAAGTAGGGGTACAATTCCCTGAATAAGACAAAAGTTCTCAGTTCCCAAATCAATTACAATTACAATATCAGTCTCAAATATTACATCAAATACTCATCAAGTGATCAATCGAATTCAAATTATACATGAGAGATCCCTTCAGACACTCTAATAACTCGATACACGCTCTTTCTTTGTCTCAAGCGCTGTGGGGAGAAAATTATTTTGGAGTGAGTTAGAAGCTCAGCGAGTGACCGGTAAAATCAGTAATCCAACTAGTTTCACAGTAGTTCATTTCAATGATGTCATGAATCAGCAATCAAATCTCAGTTTATTGCTCTTGTGAGCTAGTGAAAACATTGTACTTAAACATCCAACGCTTAGATAGATCCAGTAATAGTGAAACAATAATAGGGAGCCATTTGTGTTCCAAATAAATAGTAAACAGTGATGGAGACGTTGGTTCTAAGTACAAGACTTCCCAAGAACTCAATGGAGCCAAAACATGTCATGAACCATATGCAAACACTCATGATATGAATCGAGTAACAATGCAAGAAATAGTTCAAGAGTAACTTTGAACAGTTTTGGAATCACTCACCAACCACAGCTCATGATCCTCATCCATCATAGACAGTTTCGTGGATCAAACTCAAGCCCTTCAACTCAAACTCAAAGCAATCAAATGCTTTCAAAGATAGGACAGCATTTCCCCTTAATTTCTTTGTTTTCCATCCTACAAACAATCACCAAATCCATAACCATCAACCACAATTACACATATACAGCATAGGCTATTAAACACTCTTAATAAGGCCACAATACCATTCATATCTCACCAAATGAGAGCTCCAAAACCAACCACAAATAAAGCCAAATTAGAAACCCTAAATCTGAAATTAACCCCACAAGCGGAAATTTTCCTTAGGAAATCACATCTAGCATATACAAGCTTCATTTCACACACCACTAAGCCATCAATCCATGGCAAATGCTTAAGCATCAAATAAAGGCAGAAAATTCACCAAAAATTCTGAAATATATCAAATTCTACTTTAATCCAGGAAATATTCTCATAAACCACATATTTTGCAACTCTAAATCATAACTATGCTCGTATTACTAGCAAAGAAGGATTTCTAGCAAAGATTACCTTGAAACCTCAAGAAAATGGTAGCTTAGAACTTGCCCCTCCAAAATCACTCCACCAACACCTTTAAACTCCTTAGTGAGCCCTTGTATGGAGTAGTTTGCAAAACTAACGGTTAAAACTCAAGATTTGGTAAAGGAAATCAAAGGAAAATGGAGTTTCCTCTCTTGGTTTATCTCCCAAGAAGCTCGTGTCAGTTTTGGTGGAGAAAGAAAAGTGAGTTTTGAATACTAAATAAAGTCAAAAGGTGCAAACTTAATCACTAAGAAAACTGGGCGACAGCAGAATCCGACCAGAATTTGGCCGGATATCCGGCCGGATTCAAGGCAGTACGTTTCCAAATTTTTTTCAAAATGCTCAACCAATCCGGCCAAGAACTGGCCGGATATATGCCCGGACTCTATAAAAAAACTTCCGGCCAAAATATTTTTTTTTCCAGGGCATCACAATTTTGATGTATTAAAGTTAAACCTCAAGGCATAGTCCCAGATTTTGTTTGTATACAATGGCAAGAGATCAAATTCCCAATATATATACTTAAGGTTAGTGATAACTACTACCAATATCAATATATTTGTGAAAAGTAAATACTAATTGAAGGGTATTCCTTACTTTCTTTTTTTAAAATATTACAATTCATTTAACTAGGAAAATTTACTTTCATCATTTTCTTATCTTTTTTGTGTGACATAGCCATTTTACACTTCAAAAGGGCAAATTTTCATATCTGGAGCCATCAAAGTACGTAAAAAAGTTTTAATTAGTGGGTTTTTATTCATACTTCACCATAATATTTTAGATACTTGTCCAAAAGCCATTTTTTTTGACTTTGCAAACTTAATTTGATTGTGAGTAAAATTTCTACATGTGAAATATGCTAGTAGTAGGAAAGTGTGTACACATTTCTCATGTTTTTGTACATGCTGGAGTAAACCATTAACAAAACTTAGTAAAAAAAATTCCTTTTTAGTACCTCGTTTTATAAATAACTCTCAAAGTAGACCATTCTCATCAATTTTTTCCAATGTGATAACATGGGCGTGCACCTTCTAAGGTTCGAAAGTTACTATTCACTCACCAAAGCAATTGAAAGCAAAATTAAACATTGTTTGCTCCTTTTTTGTTTTGTTTTTTGTTTAACTAGGCTTTCAGGACTTGCATTAATTGATTGATTATGTTATGACAAGTTTTTTTTTTCCTCAAAAAAGTCATAGATAGATCAAACAAAAAAATTTTTTTTGAAAGGCAAGAGTTTACAAATATTTAGCACAAAGCTCCCTTATAAAAGATAATAAGCAGTAATTCAACTTTCGTAATAGAATTATTCTATTTTACTATCATCTTATGCTACAGCTATCCTAAACCCTAAAAAAAATTGATTTATTGCATTCATCCTTTAAATCTATTATACATGATAACTTTCTGAGATTATATTCCATCCAATCTACTTGTGATAAACTACCAGTCATAGGGGAAACTATAGTTTACTCTGGGTTGCAATTGCACCCCTTAACCATTTAAATATTGTAAAATAATCTAGAAAATTTTAAAATCTTTAAACTTGCCCCATTCTTCCATCCCTGAATTTTGAAAATATTTTATCCACCCCAACATGTCCCCTAGAAAATTGTCAAGATTTTTAAAGTTGTTGCTAACAATTTTTTTTGGTAATCGAACCTTAGTATAAATTATTAGACAACTATATTGTCACTTCTTGTTAATGAACTTTGGTTACTTAATTAATGATCAACATTTTATATTATATGACAACCATATTAATAATGAGTTGATTGGAAATTTAGTTAATAGTTTAGTTATGTACATGTTATTCAACTTTCACATTTACTATAAATCATGTATGTGTTGCGGATTCAAGTATAATATACTAGTGTAGTTTTATGTGTGAGGAGATAAAACGTGTGTTCCGAGCTATTTAGGTTGCGTTCGTTGTTCAGAAAATTGCCCTTATTTATTTAATCCTTTTCAATTCATCTTTGAATTGCATCATACATGTCACTTGAATTCTGCTCCATCCAAATTGATCAATAATTACCAAAACCTATAAATGTTACAAGTTTTGCACATTAAATTGTTCAAATGTAAGTTTTTGTTATAAAATGGAGCTTATGAAAATAGTAGTTTAAAAGAGCAAATTTCATCCATAAAACCCTAAAAACATTCCATAACTAAATAAATAAATACAGTAAAAATCATGCAAAATAAACACTTGTCATTGAACAACAGCATCCACATTAGACAATTCAGCCTTTCTCTTCGTCATTGATTCCAAAATGAGTTTGAAGAACTCCTTCCCTTCAAATTTTTCAGACACACAGACCCAAATTTTTTTGCCAAAATGTTCATTGATCTGTTGAGTATTATAGATTGATTTAGCTAAAGTTGTTTTTCCTAATCCCCCCATGCCGACAATGGGGATAACAGAAACAATTTCTTCAGATGGACTCAACAACATCTCCATTATCTTTGCTTCATCGTCGGCTCTTCCTATAACATTTGGATGCACAACAGAGTTGGTTTGTGGCCTTATGATCACTCCAGGAGTAATAGGAGGAAAGACAGCTTCAATTTGGTGCCTGATGTTTAGCCCAAGGTAACGCGCTTCTTGATTGATCATTTTCAACTTCATGTTGATGTCCCTGACCCTAGAAACCATTCCCAACGAAAAATAATTCTAGTGTAAGAGAAGGAGAAGAAGAAGCATACCTTGCTCCCTTCTTTTGTTGTCCATCACCTCATGACAAAGAGTTTCATAATGAATTTCGTCCAACAAATAATCAGCATCAAAAGCCACTCCCTCAAGTCTCTGGAGCCAAAGTTGCACTGCTGGATTAAGGATTCATTTGCTCTCGGCATCAGCCAAGAATGCTTGGATCATGACTAGAGATTCTCTAATCTTCTCCAGCTCATGCTTGAATCCGAACACTAGAGCAATTTTATCAGTGCTAAAGGAAAGTGCCTTTTCGAAGAGAACCTGGACAGTAGCACCAATAATAGCAGCAGCAGCCCATTTATAAGTTGCTTAGAGAAGGATCTAGTCTTCTGATGGAGGATGATTTTAGCTATCTGAGTCATAGATAACAAGAAGAAGGAAAGATTCAGCAACTGAAAGTTTTAATTGACTTGCTAGAAGTAGGAATATTGGTGAAGAAGTGAAGAAGATGAATGAAGTTCTCATCCACAATTCACAAGTAAAGGCTGAACATTTTTCTTTTTTGTTTTGTCACGGAAGTTACTTGGCATTTCATTTGCAATTTGTCAGTCAACGTTAGCTGAAAAATAGTCAAAAAGATAAAGTTGGCTTTGTTCTTTTTATATTTGTTTATTTATTTATTGCCTGGCATATTCACTTGTAATTTCTCAATCAATACTCCTATGAAAATTATCTTTAGAGGTTTGGAAAGTAGCTTTTCAAATAAGTATTATGGATCAATATCAGCATGGCTATTATTCTCGACACTCCACTTTTTATTAATGATACTCTATGCTTTTCATGCGCTTTTGCGAAAAGTACAAAAGAGATGAAACGCTATTGCGATTTTGGATTTTGTTTAAATGGATTTTGGATTTTGTTTAAATGGAGCGAAAACTTATCATTATACGTGGTAATAATAATAATAATTGTTGTACTATTTCCTATAATTGTTTTTTCACGGGATATGCATTGTGCATTGACTCCAAAATATTCTGGTATTTTTATTCTGAGGCCCTAACGTTTTCACCATTATACAATTGAAAGCACAAAAATGTAAATTGGGTATTGAACCCTAAAGTTTCCATAATAGTGTGAAGACCACAAAATTTCCTTATATTTTTGTTTTAGCTCCCGGGGCTTAAGTTTGTATAATGGCATATGGAGTCCAGAAAACTAATTGCTGTTTTCGTTCTTTATGTTTGCTTTGCATCAAATAATTGTAGGACTATCCCTCTTCACTTGTAGATATCTTAATGGTCGACCAATCTGCCCGCAATAATCAATCTATCTTCAATCACTTTCATGATGTTTGCACTTAAACATGTTTCTGCAGTAGGAGGATGCAAAATCATTGTTATTCTTTAAACACAAACTTTCAATCCATGAAACTGGATTTTTTTCTAACAAACCACGTATCATTACCCTATCTATTTAATCATTTTTCTGGTTATAAATCAACAGTTTCGTGAAACCAATACAGAAAACGCATCGGTATGTGTAATATGTAGACTAGTGGGATGGTTATAGCCAGGGATACTACCTCTTGATTTATTTTTATGAGGGTCATAAATCTTTAAAGCTTGCTCTATTTCTTGTTCTTAATACAAAGTACTTCTTGTTGATAATATCCATTTTGAATAATCGGTAGCCTACAGGGAGGGGATGGGTTAATGATTCGGGGGAGAGAGTGTAAGTGAAAAGTTTTAGTTTCGAACCTTCTCACTTACACTATACAAAAAAAAAAGAATAATAGGTAGTCTACATGATTATAATTGTGTCAATTATATAGAATTGTACAATTTGTTAGTAAGAAAACAAATTAGACTTGGATACCATTATTCTTTTGAAAATAAAAATAAAAAAACTTTTTGAGACGATTCTGTAGAACTGTAAAGGGGAAAAGATTTAACAGTAGAACCATGGCAAAGGGGCGCAGAAAGTCTACATCAAATTAATTATAGTCAGCCAAAATATCATAGGGTTTATGTATTTAGAAGTTTGAAATTGTTATGAACAAATAAACTGGAGCTTAATAAGAAACATTAATGGTCTAAAATATATCAAATTTAGCTCAAAAAATCAAAATAACAGCCTGCATTGCAAATTTTCTTTACCAATTGGCTATTAATCAAAATATATCTTATTCTTTTTTTCCCTTTTTTAAATCAATGAATTTGCAGCTGCTTTACAGACTTACCATATTCAGACTTTCCTGAATCACTTCAAAAATTTGACGAGTTCAAATATTTGACGAGCAACTCTTAACAGAATCTGGATTGCTAGTGCCGAAGAGGTCCGATCAGATCCAGAAAGTTGGTAAAGCATAGTCTAACAAGTTTCTACGTATTTCTACTTCAAAAGAGTAAACATGAAATTTAATACATAACAGCTTGAGTCTCTAACAAGATTACAAGGTAATTTGTTCTTGTAAACGAACTAAAAGAAGAAAAATCCTACTCTAAATGGCATCGATACATAATAAATAGCAGTCCACCTTCTTTTTTTTTTATTTTTTTTTGGATATTCATCACGTTGTGATTTTCAATCTGATAAGTTGTATTTTTGCGATTAATTCTATGATTATTTTCCTCTTTTATTTACCAAATATTATTTTAATTGATTGATTCTACTTATATTTGGTATTTGGTACTAATTGTAGGAAGGTGGAGCAAAAAGAGAAAAAAGATGTGATTTCTCAAGAATTTCCCAATTCAAAATGGAGTCTGCATGGATTATTGACGGGAGATTAAGAGAAAGTCTATTTGGTTTCAAAAGCTAAAAATTAGGAAATGATAGATGGCCGGCCCGTTGTAATTAACACTCAAAGGAAGCAGCAATTTCTGGTCCTCTGATTTCCGTTGCACGGATTTAAGGGAGTAGTAGAAGCTGAATAGGAAACAAAAGAAAAGAGGAAGCCGGATCCCGCGTAATGAGGAGTTTTAGTTTCTTTAGGAAGCTAGAGAAATAGGAATAAAAGGAGGGCCGTGGATGGTCTCCGGGGGCTGGACTCCTTAGCCGACTTTTTACTTTCCTTCCTTGTCCGATTTGGCCAGGAAGAATTTTGTAAGCTTCAGATTGTTTTTTCGCATGGTTGTTCTCCATTAATGGAGGACTAAGTTCTTATTGCTAGTCAAGGAGACAACTGAAGATTTGGTTCAACAATTCCTGTGAGATCTAATTTATTTTAATTGCTTCCTCCATTTATTGGTATTCATATGTTTCCTGCTTTTAACTGTTATAGCTCGTGTGAATGGTTGAATAGATGTGCAATATTTAATTATTCACATAGGCTATTTTGCTAAATAGGGATAATTGAATCCGTAATTGTTCGTTATCTTTATCTCAGTAGCAACTGGCGTAATTGGGTTTATGTCAGGGGAATATACGATCTAATTTAAACAAACCTCGTAGCGTGTTTGTTAGTTAGGATTGGGCCTTTCTAATTATTAATGCAATCTAGAAATTAAATCCTACGGTCGTACCTAGGATTGTTTTTGGATTAGGAAAATAGTTAACGGTCGTACCTTGACTATCGATAAATTAAGGAAGGGTTGGTTGTTTATCGCGTGTATGACAACTAGAACTGATCTATTAATAAATGTTGGAATTATCTGTGAATCGATGATCAGTGCATGTGACGTATTTGTATCTATACAAGTTTAATTCCGATTTTACACCCGTTGGACTGCAAGTATACAGGTCGCAATTGTAGTACAAGATGTGTATCGGGTCGATCCCACGAGGAGCAATTTAAACAATTACTAAGCCCTTGTTCTCTCTATTATTTAGACTTACAATTAATTTGAGCAGAGAAAGTCTAATGCTGTAATCTACAAATCTGATATACAAATCTAGTTTAACAAATACTGAATACAAATAGAGAAATTTTACTTAAGGAAGATTCTAGGGATGTAGATTCCACTTATGGCATAAACTACACAAATGAATGGATTTACTCCTTGCTATTATTCTTGCTTAACCAGAGATTTATTTCCAAGAATACCAAGTCTCATTTTCATGATGAAATGGCTTAGAGCAATATAGATTTCCCTATTTTCATGGTGAAATATTCTACTACTCCGTTTTATTTCATGAAATGCTAAATAATCCACCTAAGTGTATCTCTATTTTCATGAACATACAACTCAAGCTCTACTCATGTGTTTCAATTGTTATTACCAATTCTCATTGAATAATAACACTATAAACATATTATTGGTGATCAATCAACAACACGTAATCACAGCTACACAAGTAGACAAGTTACTACAAGATATAACAAGTGTAAATCACATTCCATTCATATTATTTAACCATAAGTTTCATCTACTCCCTAGATTAAGGGGTTTAGCTACTCATGAATGATTTAACAATCAAACTCACAAGTTTATTAATGCCAAACATCATGAAGTACAAGTACAAGAAAGATAAAAGAAAGCTTAGCCACTTGAAGGTGAAGCTCTCCAATTCCTGTTATGCTCTTGCACAATATGATTACAAGTAAAAACTCCAAGTACTTCTCCAAGAACTCCTATCTAGAGAGAAACTAGATACCAGAAAGAAAACTAGCTACGTATGGTAATCCCTCTTCTCCCCAGTCTTTCTGCATAAAAATGTGGTAGAAATTCCATTCCTCTCATTTCATAATTTATTCCACTCAGATTTTGTAAAAAGAGGTCAAAGATATGATGTCTCCTTTTGTCCACATTCATTTGGTCTTCTCTTTTGTTGCAGAAGCATGTGCCACCGATTTCTGTCCCTCAAAATAGCTGGAAAGTTGTGAAAAAGATAAAGAAAAACGGCTATGGCACTTGCTGAGGAGAGAGACAGATCCGAGCCTCGGATCCAAGGAGTGAAAATTGGATCCGAGCTCGGATATTAGGATCCGAGGGCTTCCATGATGGATCCGAGGTCGGATCGTCCTGACCTCGGATACACTCTGCCAGAAGTACAGACTAGGG